TTCAATTGCTATGGCTGCCCACTCACAAATATCTATAGGCAGCTAACAGCATTAAATGTGGCAAAAACTTTTTTAAAAATCCAGAACCCCCCCCCCCAAAAGAACACTCAGACTCTAGCACAGGGTCAAAATTCACATAAACATTAACGCATTAATGACTCGCACAACATCCTGGCCCAGTGCCTGAGGAACCGCTAAGTCCCAATAGAAGAGAATATATGTAGCTCAGGGTTGAACTGTGGAGTCCTTGGTGCTCTCTGAGCTTGGTTGTTTGATTGCAGACATTTCATTACCCAACTAGGTAACATCATCAGTGCTTCTGAGTGTGGGGCTTGCTCACTGTTTATATACAGTAGCTTGCCCTGCCAGTGTTGGTGGTGGTATGGTTTCCTCTTTGGTGGTTCCTTGATTAGAGTATTGATTTCTGCTTGATTGTTTGTCTGGTGTTAATCTCTGCTTATCTGGGTATGAGCTGCTGGAGAGGATAAGTTCTGGTCTTCTGGTCTGGTTCCTCTGATCTGTTGGTATATTTGTCCATCAAACGGAAAGTAGGTAGTGAGGCAGAGGTTGATGAGATCCATGATTCTCAGTATTTCAATCTTAGTGTATTTGGTTTGGTTAGGTTGAGTGTGTTGTGTACTACTGCTGCCATGCTAGTTCTGGGTCTATGTATGTAAAGAATGCTGTGACATTGAATGAAACCATAATTTCATCTACATCTATTCATCTTCATCTATGTTTAGGTCTTTGATTTTCTGAAGGCACTGTAGTGGGGAGTTGACAGGATATTCACTCCCCTCTGTGAGATGTCCAAGCTTTTTTGTAACTTCTTTCGCTATGTTGTATGTTGAGGTCTCTGGTAGCAATACAATTGGACAAAGAGGTACGTCAGGCATATGTATTTTTGGGTATCCATAGACACGTGGGAGGATGGGTCCGTTGCTTTTCATCCGCCACTGTTCTTTTGTGATCTGGCCTTTCTTGGCTAGGTCGTTAAGGGTTCTCCTGATCAGGTTGTCTAGTTTCTCTATTGGATTGCTGTTTACTGGGATGCAGGTTTCTTTGTCCTCCAGTAATTCTTTGGCTTTTTGTATGTATTGTGATCTGTCCGTGATAACTATGGTTCAGCCTTTGTCTGCTGGGAGGAGGAGGATGGTTTGGTCCTTCTTTAGGTTTTTGAGGGCTGCTCTGCTTTGAGTTGGTTCTGATTCTGTGTTCTTCTGGTCTGTGGTATGATTGTCTGCCTTACGTTTTCTTGGGTCTCTGTGGCAAGTCCTATGGTTTTAAAAGCTGCTTCTAAGACTGCAAAGAATTCTAACCCATCCAGGTTCAGGTACCTCTTTGCTTCTGGGCTTTAGCTTGAGCAGTTTGGTTTGGAGTTCTGTTTTCCTTTTTTCAGCTTGTCTTAGGGATGCAGTCTTGATGGTGGTCGTCAGCATTTGTGTGTGTTCTGGGGTCATGGTTTGTTCCAGTTGCTTCTTGAGGTTATCTATGGTGTGCTGGTATTTGTTTAGTCTGAGGTGAGCATCCATGACTGTAGGTCATCAAGGCCTTTCTAAAGGCCAGCAGGCTCAGGACCATACAGATCTTGGGGTAGGGGGTGGGGTGCTGTCCCACAGGGCAAGAACAGTGACAGAGAAGGCCAGCTTCCCGGGTCCTACCAGATCAACTCTCTGCCAGCTTCCCATGTATGTGTGAGAGATGGATGGCTGCCAGCTTAACTGATTGGTAAGCACCTTGCCACATGCTACTTGGTCTAAAATGCTAAGGAACTAGATGACACCAAGCTAATTAGAGATGTTGAAGGAACACAGATCAGAAAGTGATATTTCAGGAATCAAAGATAACATTTTCCCTATTTATCCCAGATTTTTCCTTGTGCTTGATTTCCAAAATCAAATATGTTGTGGGCTCAAATCCTACCAGGAAATTATACCCAACTGGCATAGATATTCCCAGCATGCAACACTTTCTAGAAGACCAAGGATGCATTCTCAGCAATAAAAAAAGCCTTGATTTATAGAAAAGCATGTAGTTCAATAAGAATCAAGGAGTAGGGGGCTCATTAAAAATCAGGGTGCTCTGATCCAGTGCAGCAGAGATAGACCTATTATTTGGAAGTTCAAGGTTTACCTCCTGTCTTCACTCAAGGGCCTGCCTCTTTTGTGTGACACCATTACAATTGCAAGGAATCCAGACTATTTCCCTCTCCATAAAACAGGATCCAATACAGTAAGCTTCTTGGGAATACAAAAGTAGCTTTTGTTCCCCTCATAACTCAGCCCAAATCATAGAAGTGGCTAAATATCCTGCATTTTTCGGTAGATTCAGATAATCATTTTCCAAAAGGGTTGGAGTTTGGGGCAGCAGTGCTTAATGCAAATAAATCCAGCATGCTTGGGCTTAGAAAGTTCTTCCTGTAACTGAGACCCTGGAGTAGAGCCACTCCCAAAAGTAGGCAGTATAAGAACAGATGTGTGCAATTTGTTTTAGATCTACTGGCTCTGTTGAGTTTTGCTTTGTGATTTCTGATTCAGAGAGAGGGAGGGAGACGGAGGAAGAGGGAGAGGGGGAGAGAACAAGCAATAAATCTGACTTGGGGCTCTGAAGTTCACTCTTCCTTCCCCAGTGACCTTAGAGGAAACATAGCTCCCTCACAAGGACCACTATAACCATCAAGAAGTGGGGTAACATAATGACTAAGGAGAAGCCCTGATTTCATCCAGCCACTCTTCATCAAGCTTTGATGCTTCTACATATCTTCTGTAATATGGATATAATAATAACAGCTTACTAACTGGCATTTGAAGCAACTGAGATAATGAAAAGAACATGTTTTGAAGGCAGATTTGCATATATACTTACAAAATCTACTAGTCCTTACCATATACATAAACATTCAAGCACTACATATCATATACTTATATCCTCCCCTTTTTCAAGGCGTCAAAGTGGAGTACATATCACACTTTCTGCCTATTTTTCTCCAGAACAACAATCCTGTGAGGCGGGTTGGGCTGAGGGACACACACACACACACACACACACACACACAGCCCTACAGACATATTTGAGTAGGTAGAGAATAGAGGGAGAGGGGAACACCCCTATCCATTTTGCTAATCTTGTGCATTAGTTAACTTAGAATAGATCATTCATAGGTGCTTCTGGCTAGTCTGATGGTGGAGTACTTAAAAGGTGTTGCAGAGATGCAAAATATGATTAGTACAGAAAGAACATAAGAGGAACTTGGTTGCACCAGATCAAAAGGTTTCTTTCTCCATCTAATCCAGCTCCTTGTTTCCCAATAGCTGAGTCTGCACAAATTAGACTAAAATGGGGGAGGGAGGCTAATGAACTGGGGTTCAGTATGTTGAGTGAATTCAATTCATTACATTAAACCATAATGCAATGTATTTATTTATTTGAGTATAGCACAGAAAATGCACAGAAATTGCATTTTGTTAACCTGGCTTTTGGGTTTAGCATGTTGAATAATATTAGTTCAAAGCAAATTGCACTGACTGCCCACCTGCTACTGGTCAGATTTCCAACGTTTTCCTAATGACAATTAAAACCTTAAACAGCTTAGGAACCCAGTACGAAGAGAGATCTTCTGTCCCAGTTTATACCTCCCTGAAAATTAAGATCTGCAGGGTGGTTCCTCCTTGGCACCTCAAGGTTAGGAGAGGCGCATTATGTGGGGACAGAGAAGAGGACCTCTCTGTTGTGGCACCCCAACATTGAAATGTCCTTTCCTGGAGGCCAGACTGGTGGCAACTTTGCTTATATTTCTGTGTCAGGTAAAGACTTGGCTTTTCTCTCTGGCATTTAGAACTTAACAACCTCAGCCTGGTGATGCCCTATTGTCCCTTGTCAAAATCTGTGCCTCTTGATTGTGTTATTTTGGTGACTGCTGTATTTTACACCACTTACTTTATGGACTGTATCTTATCCCATCCTATCCTTAGGACAGTCTGCTGGCTATAAACATGAATAAATAAATTAGCAAACCCAGCCAAAAGTAGCCACGAGATGCTTGCAAGGGGGTCTACCAGCAAGGCAGTTCCTCCTCCCCATTGCTGCTTCCCATCCATTGGTATCATGCTCTGAACATGTTAACTGCATGTAGCCATAATAGTTCATGGAAGCTGCTGCATCTTCGCCATACTTTAGCTTCTCCAGAAAAGAAGGGGGCTTCTGCTAGCTGAACTGGATACCCAGCTCTGGAAGGTCCCTTCCAACTGGATTTTTAAATGGCAATAGTGCTGCAGCTTGGATGCCATGTGGGAAACATGGTTCCTCCTTAATGTCTGCCTACAAGGTTTACCACATCCTTCCTTGCAGTCACAGATTTGTGGCAGGAAGACACCCCACCCCCCATGAAAAAGAAGACAGTTATAATTTTGCATTGGTTACCAAGGGCAGAAAATCGAGAGTAAAGTGAGAGCAACCTAGGAGGAGCTATGCAGGATCAGACGAAAGGTCCATCTACTCCACCCCCAGCATTCTGTTTCCAGCAGCAACCAACAGCAATCCTTTGCCTCCTGTTCCCAGTAAGGTCCAAAGGCTTCCAGGTCCTATTTTTGGCTTCAGCACTTGCAATTAAAGTATATTATCTTGAGAGAGAGAGAGGCAATCAGCAAGCTAATCCTCTAGGCTCTAAAAAATAATGAACTTTTGCATCTCATACATCTCAAAAGGTGGTCTAAGCTGACTGCCATCAAGCAGCCTTTAATGTTGCAAGACACTGCCACCGATCAGCCCGAGCTGGGCTACCTTTCACAGATAGACAAGAATGCAGGGAAACTCTGCAGGCAGAAACAAACCAACGGTTTCTAACAGAAGACGGCCAAATGCTTCTGAAATGTCACGAGTCTGGCATCCTCCCACACTTTCAGAGATAGACTGCCTCTGAACATGGAGGATCTTCCTCAGAGAACCACACACAGACGTTCCTTCCCTGTGCGGAGCACCCACCAGAGGACCCACCTCCTTACCTGCACTGATGCCTCCCCCGCACAGCCTCCTAACCCTTCCGCCGGGCACACCTCAGTGCTCCCGGGTGCTTGCTCCGGGCACGGAGAGCTTCCCCGAGACGGGACCTCCAGCTCCAGGGCTGCCTGGGTCCCTTCGGCCCCGCCAGGGCTCCCACTTTCCGGCATGGCTCCCACCGAGATCTGCGCTCCGCGCTCAGCTGCGCCGTCGCCGGTCTTGCTCCGCGCCCAACGCGGCAGGAGCTGCACACGGGGCTTCCCCCAGCCCTGCCTCTTCATCGCT